CTTCGATTTTCACGATCGAAATTTTGGCTCGGCGTTGGAGCTTCGATGAGTCCCCAGGTTGAGTGAGTTTTCATTGTGGTCATGTTTTGGGCCTATTTTGAATCTTGTAGACACATCCTCGCGCTATCCAATTTGATACCGGCTCCACCACCAGCGTACGGGCGACGGACGAAAGGTGCAACCTCATGTGTGCATGCGTGCAAAATGATTCTTTTTAGGACACTATGAGTTATTAGAACAAGTTATGGTAGAAAGGCAGAAGGCTCATAAGGCGGCTATTGAGGTGGGGTCGTGTACGCGTTGTCGGAGGAAAATTTTGCGAATTATTTTTGGTTTATTATACCTAGTCATGCGTAAATTTTCATAGTGTAGCTTTGAAAACTTCGAGGCTCAGCTGAGGAAAACGAACTGATGACGCTACCCTATCTCAATCGCGAAAATGCCGACCATAATTTTCGGTGCCACCTCGATTTGGTGATATTTCCAACACTACTACGTGAATGTGCTTAAAAATGGTCAGTGTGGGACAACGTGCACATGGTCAGCCACAGATGTTGGTTACGATATGTTAATGGTTACTGTATATTTCTACTCGTAAACTCTCATAATTAGTGAGCTCAGCTGAGGAAAGCAAAGATATATTTCTCCAACACTGAAAGAGTTTCAGGTGTTCAACAAGTTGGGACGCCAGCAAAAAGTTGTCTTTACCTGATTACACATGTTCGCTGGTCATTACTGTTTCCGATCGTTTATCAGAAAATTGTGTTTACACAATTCAGCCTTTTTTCATTAATGCTACTTCATCGGAATTTTACAGCTTTTCGTGGCATTGCATTTTAGTCGCAAATGTTGATGAATTCCCACCAGAATGAGAATTCGCCTTTCACGCCCATTTGCGGTGTGTTTATGTCGTACTACAAACTAAACGGTAGCTAATGAAGCTAGGATAACAGAGAACTAAAGAAGAGAAAATCGGAGTTTCACCCGTTTTACGTGAAGTGGCGTAACAGTCCACGGGAAAAACGTGATATTCACTGCTCACATGCGTTTTTCGCGAAGTGAAATGTGGAATGTGCCTTTCACATCACGGATGAAATTACATTGTTTTAGCTGAAGAGCTTACCGAATGGATTCGGAACAGAGGTTGTGCAATAATATAAAAATTTTCAGGAGTTTAAAGCACTCTGTGATTTCAAATGCGAAATAAAATGGAGTAGTAAAAGAGTGCATATCTGAGATTAATTGTAACATCACAGGAAACGGTGTACTGCA